GAAATATAATTATTTCATGTTCTATTAACAAAAGAAATATAATAAATCATTGATTCATAAATACTTTATTTTTTAATAGTTTTACATGTTTATGGATTAATGAGTGTTTGATTTAGGGTATAGGGATTCACAATTGTAAGATATATTTTTTGAGTTTCTCAATGAAGAAAAGAAAATACAAAAAATTAGTGTTTCATTCCAAGAAAGTAAGAAGTAAATGTAACTTTTGATATATAGTTTTAGTTTTATATGGATAAATCATGTGTGATTTAGGGTGTAGGGATTCATATTTTTCAAAATATATATTTTCCTGTTTACCAATTAACAAATGAAAATATAATAAATTGTTGTTTCAAGAACATAAATATTACAAACATACAAACTAAGATAGTGAAGTTTGTGAATTTTCCATTTTCCATATAGGGTTTAGGGTATCACAATACATATAAATTTTTTGATATAGAGTATTAACTTTTAAAAGATTTATGAGTATTGATTTCGTGTTTAAAATCTTACAATTGAATTTGGATTAAGATGTATTTATATTTTGGTAATCTATGTTTAATTTTTGAAAATATGATGTTCTTAGTTCTTTTCAAAAAAAAAAAAATTAATAGTCAAGTAATGAATTTTTTTTTTTAGTATTGAGATGTGTTCACCATATATTTACAAATACTATGATTGTGAAAATTGTGTTTCAATCTAATTGGTTTGCCATAGTTATTTGATTTTTAAATAATTTTATTTTCTATGAGACAATCTATGCAATTTTTAGTGAAATTTGTTTGTGTTGTGTGTCTAAAACACAAATATTTTGTTCGAGCGCCAAAATGGAGGCGCCTATATTTTCATTTTACATTAAAAGTCTGCCACATCATCGATCCATGGCATACACTCTGGAACGGTATTATAAACCGTTAGATTAGAAAATCAACGATCAATATGAACCGTCAGATCAAGTACTTGTGCTTTTCTTCTCCTCCTCCTCTTCAATCTCGGAAAGAAGAGTGTTTTGGGTTCGGGGAC